TAATCCCAGCATGCCGACTTAGCCGAATTTGCAGTACAGGGCTTGGTGAGGTGGTGGGAGTCTCGATATGTTTTGAATGTAAAGCTGATAGATTTTGCAAGATTTGTTGGTAGAGTGAAAGAGAGGACTCAAAACTGACTTCAGAGGTTTGGACTCAAACAACTAGAGGAATGTTGTTTCCTGACAAGTGGAAGAAGAAATTTAGTGGGATAACATCAGGAGTTGGTTTGGAGTTTTGTAGGTTTTAAACTATCTAACATACAAATGAATTGTTGAGTAGGATATTTAAGTCCAGAAGTACATAAAAGAAGTTCATAAAAGAGCGGAACGTAAGAATTTGAAAGTTGGCAGCGTGAGGTGGTTTTTAAAGCCATTAGACTGGATGAGCTCATCAAGGCAAAGTATTGAAAGAGAAAATGAAAACTTCAAGCCAAGACTGAAGTCTGCAGTGCTCACCGCTCTGGAGATAGGAACAAATTGATGAAAGGACAGAAAAAAGAGTACCTGATGAGGCCAGGAAAATCAGAAGACCCTGATAGCCAGGAAACCAGGTGAAAGGGGGTCAAAGAGGAAGAAGTAATCAGCTTTTCATTCTGATAGGGCCAAGTAAGAAAACATCTAAGCCTTGGGTTTAAAGAGAAGTCACCTATACCCAGTTGCAGGTATAAAGCAGTTGCAGTGCATGTTGGGAATAAAACTTGAGTAGGCTGGGATCAAGATAAAATCCCCAAGGAGAAGAATTAATGGCAGCTACTATAAAGCATTCTTTTTCAGGGTGGCGGGTGGCTATTTGCTATGCTAATAAGACAGTGATGTGTATAGGATTTTCCATAGTTTGGGCCAGGAATTATTTTTTTATGACACCCTCTTATAAATCTTTTATGTACCGGGTTTGAGAACCTCTGCTCTAGCTTATGTTAACCATTCTTCATTGTAGCAAATAAAAATGATTTACAAATTAAATATAAATTCTTATTTACTACTGCTGACTGTAGTAGCCAGAATTTGCAGTAGTCAGTGATTCTCAGCAGTCCAGTTTCAAAACAGGAACTTAGAGGCCAGGGACAAAAGTAAAAGTTCTTTTTTGTAATTCCTGTTTCCCAGAAAGGATGTCTAATCAGCCAAAAGAAGTTAAAAGATTTCAAAAATATTGACATCTTGAAATTTTCCTTTTAAAATATTATTTAATCTAGCATTCTTATTTTAATGAAAATAATTAAAAAGCAAAATTCATTTTCATTAGCAACTGTTAATGCATTGTTACTAAATATCAGAATGTTTATTAAATATTATAAGCACCCGTTTGCAGGGATATCATGGAAATAGTATGAATAAAAATCAAATTGTTGATTTATCTGCTTTGAAGAAAATATTTTTATTTTGCTAAAATGAACCCATTTCGGGTTCACATAATGTTTTTTTAAACTTCACATACTAATGAAACAACCCAAAATGGTTTTAATGTCTCTATACTATCCATACTATTAAATTAGGAATGAGGAAACTTTCAAAGTCCTTACCTTACAACTTTTCCAGGCAAGTCTTTATACAGTGTTGGATTATTGCAGACCAAAGAAAATCTTGTCCTCTTTTCAAATTTTCCAGAGAAGACAAGTTAAACTTTCAAAAGCAGATTATTCATTTACTTTCAAAATGGTCCTCAGTTTATCTAGCAGAATATATCCTGTATTATCATATATTAAATAGCTGACCTTTCAAAGACTGTTTTCTCTTATTTCATATATTCCAATGTAAATTGTAAATTACATATATTAATTATACCTTGCCAAGAAAATCTAAATTGAGTAGCCAGCATCACAGGTAAATAATATGACCATGGGTAAGTTATTTTACTTTTGTATTACTATTTCCTGATCTCTGCATTGATGATATTACAGAGAAAGAAGAAGATAATACGTGTGTCACATTTAGTGATGGAAGTTAGTGCCTGGTTTTCACACTGGACACTCAGGGTCATACCTACCTTGTTCATCTCTTTTTCCCCAGCACTTAGCTTGGTCCCTGACTTGAAAAAAAAAAAATGTCAAACAACTTAAATAATTGTTAGGTTGCTGGAAATCAGGAGCTTCATAAGAATGACAATTTTTGAACTAAGCTTAGAAGATGACGACACTTGGCTGGAAAAGAAACCTGGGCAGGTAGAGAGAGAGCATGAGAAGAGACTGCAAGTGAGATACCACCCTATCTGGACTGATGGAAATAATACTGAAGCAGTGTCCACTTCCAGTGTGAAAGGTCTTAAATGTCAGTTTAAATTCTGTTTACATTAAACCAATCTTTCAATATCTCAGAGTCTTGGTGTGGGTACAACATGACTTGCCTAAATTTCAAAGCTATTGAGAGGACCAGGCAAGAGAAAAACATGGTAAAGTGTTTTATGACTTGTTCAGTACTATAAAGATAGTCTGAGACTTAAAGCCTATCTTGATTTACTTACCCAGCTAGTCCCTAATATGTATCATCTACCCGTGGCAAATTGATTTCTTTACCTTCATTAACACTTTGTTTATTTTTGCTTTTCTGACTTTGCTTGTACCTTTCCTCCTCAGGAGAGTTTTACCACTACTTTTTACATTTTCACAACATATACATCCTATAAATCCAAACTAAAATAATATTTACTTTGCCAGTTATTTATTCTGAACTATTCCATGTACTTACTGTAAGAACTGAGTTTAATACTATCTACTATACTTTATAGAATTTTTATCTATTAACATTTTATTAGTTTCAGTTGCTCAGCATAATGATTTGGTATTAGTATATATTGTGAAATCATCACCACAATAAGTTTAATGGCATCTGTTACCACATACAGTTACAATTCTTTTTCTTATGATGAACTTTTGAGCTCTAATTTCATAGCAACTTTCAAATATGCAGTACAGGATCATTAATTATAATTACCATGATGTGCTTTACACCCCCGAGACATTTATTTTCTGTCTGGAAGTTTGTCCCATTTAGCATTATAATAGGGTGGTTTTTTGGTTTGGGTTTTTTTTTTTTTTTTGGTTGGTTGGTTTTTTTTTTTTTTTTTTTTTTTTTGCATTTCTATACCCATAGCAGGATAATCAGTTTCCTAAGGACTGACATCATGTGTATATGGACTTGTATCTCCTGTATTGTCTGACTGAAGTTCTTAATTAATGCAAGTGTTTATTGAGCCTAAAAACATGCTGAGGTTAATTGTATCTTAGGTTTTCCCCCAAAGAGAGGCACTATAAATGAGTGAAATGTGAAGTAATAGCCTTCATTCAGTTACATTGTTGGCATATACGCTGTAATAAACATTTTTAAATACCATATTGCAGATGTGGAGTTCAAGTATACCCACAAACCTAAGTCTGACAATAATCCAGCCTTTGTAGACCTTCCATTCCAGTTGTCCAGGATTTTTGAAAAGTCAAGCTAATCTGGAAAACCCAGTGTTTTTGCATGGGTTTTGTTGTTCTCAGTGAATGAAGGGGGAGGAAGAAAAAGTTATTTTGCTGGTTTTGTAGCTGTCAATACTAGAAATTTCAAATCATTATAATTATCAATATATAATAAACTTAATTGATTTGCCAGTGTCAAGTAGGTTGTTGATGACATTTGCAAGAGCTATTTACCCATGTGAACTGCTGACTTAAGTGAAATAGAGTCTGGCACTGAATAGAGTCTGTCATTGAAAGTCATGAGCGTGTTCAGTTGCTCTCTTTTTTTCTCCCTTTTGTATGTTGAGAATACAAACTAAACTGAAAAGAAACTTTTTTCATCCCTGGAATGAATTGAATGGAAAAGAAGTTAAGTGTGGATGCTTCCTTTGAAAAATTTCTTTGTGCAATTGAGTAAAATATAATCATATCTGAAAGAAAATGAGAATCACCATTTAAAAAAATTGTAATGTCATATATTACAGGTAGTTTGAGAAGGAGAGAAATTAATTATGGTATAAATTCAGTAATTTGTGGGTTGCTTTTTTAGGTTTTTGTGTGCTACTCATCTGTAATAATATCTGCCGAATAGTACATGAAATACTCAACTTTGTCTTACTGGATTGTATGCTGTATAAGTACTTAGTTGATCTTTACCAAAGACAAATTACAGTTGTTTTCAACATAATAAAACTGTATATTCTCTCAAACTTTGGTGGACATAAGAATCACTTGTGGGTCTTATTATAATGCAGAATCTTATTCAATAGATTTGGAATGGGTTTGAAGATTCTGCATTTCAGTAAGCACACAGTTAATACCAATGGCCCTGATCAATGAATATGATTAAGATGAAAATATAAACTAAAAATACTATCCCATTAAGAATTCTAACAGGATTTACTGCTATATTTTTTAAAGTGAATTTTTATCATTTTATAGAATGCAGCATAAAATTTCCAGATAGAAAAGTGGTAGGAGCAGCTCAGTTCTCCTAAAGACAACCCAGCCAATATTACTTTCCCTTTTGTGGAAAGAGGTAACTGAGATCCAGAACTTTTCAATAGCATACCAAAGATTGCAATGTCAGATTTGTCTAGCTATTAGTCTAATATTGCCTGCTTTAACCACTACAAGTCTTAAGTTTTCTATGGTTTTCATAAATGTGAATAATCAAGTTTTCCTCCTTAATAAAAATAGATCAATCTATTGTTATTTTATGTTTAATTTTTTTAATTTCCTTTAGCCCAGTTCTGTCCTGTGCTTAGGAGTTGCAAGTTTGCTAGAAGGACACTCCTATGTTTCTATTGCAGACCTTTTCTGAAATACAAAAGCACTGAAGAGAACTGGGCCTATGTTTTGAGGAGGGTGGCTTTTCATAAATCTGTTGAGCCCTACATGGTTGGTGGAAATCAGTGATAGGATTGGAAAGTTGCCAGACTCTTTCAGAGCTGTACCGTGCAAAAAATACATTTTCCTTCAGAAGTATGATATAGACCATCACAAATGTCTTCTTTTATTTGACCACTGCAGTCTAAAATTGATATAAAATATCTCTTTTAGAATGTGAAACACAGAAAGTATGCAAGGTGGAAGGCAACATATATCCATAATTGTTTAAAGAATGGAGAGACTCCTCAAGCAGGTCCTGTTGGAATTGAAGAAGATAATGGTATGTATCTATTTACCAAAATAAAACGATTTAGTAGAATTATAATAGTTCATAGTTTATTATTCAAAGTTTTAGGAAGGGGGCCTCCCTGGTGGCACAAGGGGTTAAGCATCAGCACTGTGAAGCTATCCACAGCTACGGCAGCATGAGTTCGATCCCCTGGCCAGGTAGGTGACCCACATGGCACAGCAGACCTCTCCTGACTCACCAGCTGCTCCGTTAGGCAGTGTTTTCGGTCAGTCCACCTGTTCTGCTCCCCACTGTTTCTCTGGTGAATCCTCTCACCCCCGGCACCTCTGGCCTGTACCGCAGCTCTTATATGCATAAATAAATAAATCTTTTTCTAAAAAACAAAGTTTTAGGAAGAAACAGTGTAATTTTATTTCTCTTACAACTCCAAAATCCATGAAAATTAGGTGTAAAATCATAAACTTAGGATGGTGAATGGTGATTGTCTAACACTCCTGCTATCTAGCCTATATATTAAAAAAAAAAAAGATTTATTTACATATTTTTGCCAGAGGTGCAGGGAGTGAGGGGATTCACCAGAGTGGGGAGCAGAACAGGTGTATTTACTGAAATACACTGCTAAGGGGAGCAGCAGGTGAGACAGGTTAGCTCTTATGTGGGTTAGCTTCCTGGCCGGGGATCCTCAAGTGATAGTGCTGAGACTTAACCCCTAAGCCACCAGGGAGGCTCCATATCTGACCTATATTAACAAAATAGCTTGGTTACTCCTACCGCTGGTCAAATTTCATTGTTTCATGGAACAGGCAATCTATAAACTATATCCAAACCACAATAAATACTATATTTTACTTACCTGTTTGAGGTTTCTTTTGGGGGGGGGGGTTGATTGCTGGTGTTACATTTAGATAATTCAAAATTTATTAAGTATATAAAAAGTGAAATGAGGAATGGGTTTAAAGAAAGATTTTTTGAAAAAATTACTATATGCAGAGATAGTATAGAGTATTAATTTAAAAGGAGTGATAATTGTCAGTCACAATTAAATGTTGTGAGAAAAAAATTAAACTTAATTTTGAGAGATAGTGCTGGATATCAGTCAACTGCAATAAGTAGAATTGCATTTGAAAGTTTGTCATGTCTTCATAAAAAAGTATTTGTCATTATTTCAAAATACCTGGAATAACATCGTATATATGTATTATATGTCTTTTAATATATAATAGATGTTGAAGAAAATGAAGATGCTGGAGCAGCCTCTCTGCCCACTCAGCCACCTCAGCCATCAGCTTCCTCATATGACCCAGGCAACATGGCCACAAGCAGCTTTACTGGAATACAGATTCCTCCTGGAGCACATGCACCAGCTAATACACCAGCAGAAGTGCCTCACAGCACAGGTAGGGTAAAGGTTAGTGATTTGAACTCTTTTTTTTTTTTGTTAAGTAAGAGCTGCACTTTATCATATCTGTGACTTTTTATGGGCTTGTATGGTGATCATTAAACATTATTTTATTTTATTTTTTTTTTAAAGATTTATTTATTTTTATTTATACAAGCACTGGGTACAGTCAGAAGCGCGGGAGGGTGAGAGAATTCACCAGAGCCAGAGCGGGGAGCAGATCAGGCAGAAGGACCGAAGTACACTGCTGAGGGGAGCAGCGGGCGGCAGGAGAGGTCTGCGCGCCATGTGGGACCCTCCTCCGGTGGCCAGGGAGCAGCCAGGGATCGAACCAGCGCTGCAGAGGCTGCAGGCAGCTTCGCAACCCAGCGCTTAACCACTGCACCACCAGGGAGGCCCCCATTAAACATAATTTTAAATTTCGTTTGAACACACACCAAAAAAAGGACTCCTTTTCAGTAGAGTTTTAATATTAGTTGTATTTTAGTTTTTTAAATGGAACAAAGTGATTATATATATTGATGACTAGTAACCTTATGTTGTATTAATACTTTTTCTGTGCTTTTTCTATGTGATGCCTTTTTTTTTTTTTTCTTCCCCTCCCCTGCTTTTCCCTTCACTGTTGTTCAGGAATAGCACTGAGGTGAGACTTATTGAACGTTATCAGTCAGTATCCCACTGTGAATCAGGGTCCCACTATGATAGTAAAACTCAATTTTTCTTTCCTCACTTCTGTGTAGCTCTGCCTCTGCCAAAACATGGATGTCATTGGCTAAAGTAGGCTTTGAGTCAAGAATCTCCGTAGCAGTGAAGTCACACACAAGTGAAAGAACAAGGTTTTGGACCTTTTCTTTTTTTATACAAGTGTGACCAAAAAAAAAAAAAGTGATACTTACTATTGTGTAAATACATCAATATTGTATGATTATTTTCATGGACCAGATCTGACAGAACTAGTATCCAGTCATAAGTCAATTTCAGTATATGTTTTTTAGCTTTGGAGGTAGACGCTTTCATATATTTGTATTATTCACAAAGTCTCACCCTTACTTCCAAATAAAAGGGCATTTAAAAACATATTTTTCTTGCCAAAAATTGTTCTTCTATTTTTACATTCATCCAAGCATAAGGATAATCAGTGGTAGCAAGCTCATACATTTAAAAACATTTGCTTAATAGAATGAAAGTTGTCTTTGGAGCCCTGATTTTTCTACCCTATCTGTTAATAACATCACTAATACTTTGACTTTCAGTTGTCTGTGTCAGTCTACACAAACTATTTAGGTTATTTTGCATGAGTTGAATATCATTTGATAGTTTTCTGTTCTCACCATTGTAATAGCCATTATTAGTCTCTTCCCTCCTTTTTTAAACTTTCAAATTTTATAGTTTCTACAAGTATTACTAATATTTCAGTAATATTAACGAAACTGGTTATTTTAACACTGATCTGCTACACCGTCATTCTGTGTATTTTACCCTGACTTTTAGTGTTTTATGGTCTAAGTCATGACATTAATAGGCAGGCTGATGTGGGGCCTCCCTGGTGGTGCAGGGGTTAAAGACACAGCCTTGTCACTCTATCACCAGCCACTGCAGCAAGAGTTCCATCTCCAGCCGGCCAAGGAGCTGACCCACATGCACAGCAGACCTCTCCTGTCTCGCTGGCTGCTCCCCTCAGCAGTGTATCTCAGTCAGTCCACCTGTATGCATAAATAAATATATCTTTAAAAAAAAAATAAGCAGACTGATGTGAATTAAGTTTGTAAATAAGATTTTATGGAACACTTGTAAATATTTTATTATCTTACAGAAATATTCCATTTTTCCAGTATATAATAATATAAGCAAAACTAGTTACTTAAGTGTATTTGCCTTAAATGACTACTGTTTAAATTATACTAGTAAGTTTGATTTGTTTTTTTTGTTTGTTTGTTTTTTTTTTAGTTTTATTTTATTCATGCATACAAGAACTGGGACGTAGCCAGAGGTATGGGGCCCGGGGGTGAAAGGATTCACCAGAGACAGAGTGGGGAGCAAAACAGGGTATACTGAAATACACTGCTGAGGGGAACAGCAGGCAAGACAGGAGAGGTCTGCTGCACCATGTAGATTAGCTCTCTGACTGGGGATCTAACTTATGCTACAGTGGCTGCTGATAGCTTCATAATGCTGAGATTTAACCCCTTGCGCCACTAGGGAGGCCCTATACTAGTAAGCTTGAATACTGATCAAGAGCTTTTAAAGGCTGATCAAGTAAACAAAAGGGCAAAGTTAGCGTACATGTTGTTGTCAAATAGTACTGGCTATTAGTTTCTATCCCTTGTTAAACCACTAACTCAGCTGCTAATCTACTTTTCTCAGCCTCCTTTTTTCCTCTCTCTAAAATGAGTTTAATCAGCCTTACACCTCATGGTTGTTTTAATTATTGAGGAAAAGTATGAAAATTACTACAACACAAACTCAATGTTTAGCAAATTAGCTTCCTTTCTTTTTTTCTCTTCCTACTTGTTTCTTTGCCAAATAAAGACAAGGTATATAATAGCAAGTTAATGAACTTTTAAAAATCATTTTGTGATTCAAGCACATATCACATTTTGGGGTCGGTTACAGCTTTACAAAATGGCTGTGGAGAATGAGTATTGCTTTATACAATGTATCTTAAGGCAGAGTTCTGTATATGTGTCTATATATTTTAAATATAGACACAATTTATGTGTATAGGAAAGGGAAAGTATACTTCTAGTAGGAAAGCTGTAAGTCTGAACCATATGTAATTTTTATTGTACAACAAAAATGATAAAATATTGGTAATTTTGTACGTTCAAACAGACAGTAACTCCTGCTTGTAGACTGTCCATGACATAGGGTAATTAGGAGGTAAGCATCTATTAGGAAATTTTCTGGCATGAATAGTCCTTTCTATCCAGTTAATTCTTGTGTGAGCCTTTTTTCTCTCTTTTGTGCTTCAGAGTGAGGGCATGAAACGAAAAGTTTTGGAATGTTTTTTGAATGAAGTTCTATCTTTTTACTTTGTATACTTTTATAGACCTACCATTTGAATAGTTATAGCTATTCTATCATTGATTTCTTACAGCAACTATATTATATATTGCTATTTCCAGTTTATAAACTCAAAAGAAATTAACCAGTTATCCCAAGAAAATAAACTTTTAAGCATACCAAGTAATTTGAGTCCAAGGCTTGCTTATTTCATACTTTTGGCACCTCCCTTCCATGTTCCTTTCTCCAAGGAACTAATATTCTATCAAATCAAAATCTACTTTTCTCATGACATTTTCCCCTTTAAGATTGGTTAAGATGTTAGAATCTCCTCCTCTTAACTGGCTTTTTTTTTTTCCTATTTAAAACAGTTTTTAAAAAAAGTTCATATTTGCTTAATAGAAAATGAAATAACATTTTTAGTTTATAAACATAGCAGATGTTTCCCCTCTTTCTCACTTTAAGAATGATTTACTTTCTCTCATATAAAGGTTCAGGATACACTTTTATCAAAGGGAAATCCTTAAGATAGCTGAAAAGAATAGTGTGTTCTAATATACAGTTTTTAGTTCTTTCACAAAAAAGCAAAGAGGGTACAAAGAGTAGGGATAGCAGTTGTTTATGTTTGCCTCTTGTTCAACCACTCATATTAACCACCATGTAATATCAGATGTGCTTATTTATTCTCTCTTGAAATATACGCTTTCTTACAGTCTAAGATCTCAGTAAGTCTAAATATTAAATAATTGGATTTTTTATATAATTAATCTTAGCCTTTTAGTTAAATGTGCAGCTCACCTAATACATAGATTAAAAATTTACCTGTTTTACCACTTCCATACAGCTTTCAAAGTTATTTATATTCTTGCCTAACCCTTCCTGTCAGTGCTATTGTCCATGGTTGTACTGAAGTTTTTATTCAACTCTTCTTTTCTTTTTCTTTTTTTTTTTTTTAAAGATTGATTTATTTACGCATACAAGAACTGGGGTACAGGCCAGGGGTGCAGGGGGTAAGAAGATTCACCAGAAACAGAATGGGGAACGGAACAGGCAGACTGACCAAAATATTCTGCTGAGGGGACCAGTGGGCGAGACAGGAGAGGTGTGCTTCTCCATATGGCTAGCTACCTGGCTGGGGATCAAACTCAGGCAGTAGTGGTGATGGCACTGAGACTTAATACCTACGCCACCAGGGAGGCCCTATTTACTACAATTTAACTGAGAGGTAAGCTAAAGCATTAGATATTACAAATACAAGGTAGGAACCATATAGCCAAAACATATATGTTGGCACTCAAAATGTATTTTCCTGTATAATTCTGTACCAGCCTGCAACATCAAGTAAGTATATCAAATTAAAATTTCTTAAAGGTTCCAAGAAAAGAATTAAAGTAATGAAATTCCTCTTTGATTTTTTTTTTAAGTGCTTTCCTGGTATTAATTAAGAGGTACAACATTTCTATACCCATTTGTGGCTTTCTGATTTACAGGTGTAGCAAGTAATACTATCCAACCTACTCCACAGACTCTTCCAGCAATTGATCCCGCACTTTTCAATATAGTTGCCCAGGGTAAGTCAACTGACTGTTTTGTGAGTTATAGGTTATCTCCTATTTCAAGGTGGTGTTTTATAATTTTACATAGGGAGTTTCATATATTTGAATGTCTGTGTAATTTGAAACATTTCTTTATATTTTTTGAAATTTATTTATGCACACAAGAATGGGGGTGTAGGCCAGAGGTGCAGGGGGTGAGAGGCTTCACCAGAGACAGAGTGGGGAACAGAACAGGTGGATTGACTGAAATGCACTGCTGAGGGGAGCAGCAGTTGAAGATAGGAGAGGTCTGCAGCACCAGTGGGCTAGCTCCCTGGCCATCGAGCAAATTCCTGCTGCAGGGGCTGCTGATTGCTTGATAGTGCTGAGATTTAACCCTTTGCACCACCAGGAAGGCCTGAAACACCTTTCTTTAAATGTCTGTGTTCATTATCCTCTCCAGTGAACCAAGGTTGTTCCATATTACCAGAAATAACCTAAATCCGGTTCTCCCTAGTGGCGCAAGGGGTTAAGCACTGCACTATGAAGCAATACGCAGCCTCTGCAGCATGAGTTGGAGCCCCTGCCAGCCAGGCAGCTACCCACATGGTGCAGCAGACCTTTCCTGTCTCGCCCGCTGCTCCCCTCAGCAGTATTTTTCAGTCAGTCTGCCTGTTCTGTTCCCCACTCTGTCTCTGGTGAGTCCTCTCACCCCCCGCACCTCTGGCCTGTACCCCAGCTCTTGTATGCATAAATAAATAAATCTTAAAAAAAAAAAACCTAAATCCAAGGAATTCCTTTTTTTTTATTTTACATTTTCTTTTAGTTTAAGATATTTAAAACAAAAATTTCTGAGAATATTTATTATGATCATTGGTTTATAGGTAGGTGATTTGTTGATACTCATCTTTCCAAAGTCTCTGTGTCTAAATGCCCCTCCCGCCCCCTAGTCAGTTGTTTATTTTGGTCTTATTCATGTATCTAGTGAGATTTAGTCCTTTTGTATTTAGAGTAAAGGACTTGATTGGTTATTGTTTTCGTCTGTTATTGGGTTTTCTATAGTAACTGTGTCTTCAGGTTTGTTTCCCACTTGAGCGTTTATTCTCCCTGTGAGTAGAAGCTGCCGATTAAGCGCACCTGCCTCTCAATCGTGGAATAAGGAAAGTTTTTCTTGAAGGGGGGTAGAAGCAGGGGTACCACACATGTAAAGATCAGTTAAATACATATTTTTAAACATGTAAAGGTGAGAATACATACTCAAAGATGATGTTAGAACAAATGATTATCAGAAAATTATTAGATACTATCTCACAATTTCTGTGTCTCATTTGTTTATGTCTTAACAGGTTTGACTAATGAAAAATAATAAATTCCAGGGCCTTCCCTGGTGGCACAGTGGTTGAGCGCTGGGCTGGGAGGCTGCCCGCAGCCTCTGCAGTGCCAGTTCATTCCCCAGCCGCCAGCGAGGGTCCCACCAAAAAAAATTTAAAAATAAAAAAAAGTAATAAAAATAATAATAAATTCCATATTGCAAAATGTTACTAAAATGTAACTGATAGACCAGGAAGAAATTGACACTTAAATAATAGAGAATATCCAGAACTAATTTTTAAACTAATGTAAAAGAATATTAATTGAGGACACAGATTTTATTTCTATTTAATTTAAAATTTTACCATTATATTTAAAATGAAGAAAAGCCTGACATGTTGCAAAATAGCAAAAGCAGCTCTTTGACATAATTTTTAGAAGTTCTTTATATTTTCAATTAAAAATTAACCTAACACCTATATAAATCTATAAATTACATCTTGTATCTAAATTTAGAAGTAGCTTATTTTTTAGTTATATTTCATGTTAAATAATTTGTCATACATGTCTATAAGCTCTATATATTACATATCTGGAATTATATTTTTCTGGTAAAATATTTTCATTCACATTTAGCAATTATTGAAATCATGAAAAAAGTAAAATATTTGTGTTTTAACATAGTCATCCAATGGATAAATTTAGTTTTTGTAAAAGCTAAAATAGTAACATTTCTTGCCACTGTACACATTGTATCTTATTAATAAGTGATATGTCAGCAAAGCATTGCTATAACTAATGCTGTAAAAATAAGATTAGTCCAGAGCATTGGGCTTTTTTCCAGCAAGTCTGATAAATTTTGCATAGATGCCTTATATATTTAAAAATCTCCCTTGAATAGATCATTAAAGGACAGTAAACAGTGTTAAGGTAAACTTAGTTTTCCTGTCTTACTCACCTGCATAGTATTTATAACTAGGTAACAAGATTCTCTTGAGTGTTCTAAAAAACCATTAAAGAATCTGGTACATATTTTTCAAGGAAAAAAAAAGTACTAGCAGAAGTATGCCCAACTAACTTGTTAACTAAACTGCAGTGTAGTGGTTTTAGTTTAACTAATGAAATACTAAAATGCTGGGCTTCCCTGTTGGCCTAGGAGCTAAGTCTCAGCACTGTCACTACTAAAGCCTGAGTTTGATCCCTGGCCAGGGAGCTAATGCACATATGGTGCAGCAGACCTCTCCTATCTTACCCGTTGCTCCCCTTAGCAGTGTATTTCATTAAATCCGCCTGTTCTCTCCACTCTGTCTCTGGTAAATCCTCTCATCCCTGTACCGCTGGCCTATACCCCAGTCCTTCTATGCAAAATTAAAAATTTTTAAAAGAAAAGAAATACTAAGAGTAAAATTGAGCAGAAACTATAATACATAATTATATTTCACTGATTTATTAAATATCTGCTAGAATGTGTCATGTCTTATTCACAACAGAAAGAAAATAATTTAAAGTATAGCCAGCTTTTCAATATTCATTCATTGAAGTATTGAACACTTACAGTTATCTGACACTGGGCTAGAAACTCGAAGATGCATTGTTTCAGTACGCTTGACAATTTCAGAAAATAATAATTGGGATCATAATTTAGAATCAGAGTACCTGGGATTGCTACTTACTTTAATATCCTTACCTAAGTAATATCAGAGTTTTCATTTCATGCTATACATCTGTGACAGATTAAAAGTAACTAAACAATAGAAGTATATTATTTCTGTTTGGTTTTTTTTTTTTTTTTTTTAAAGATTTATTTATTTATTTATACAAGCACTGGGTACAGTCAGAAGTCGAAAGGGTGAGAGAATTCACCAGAACGGAGAGCAGAACAGGCAGACAGACAAAGTACACTGCTGAGGGGAGCAGCGGGCGGCAGGAGAGGTCTGCGCGCCATGTGGGACCCTCGCCCAGCAACCGGGGATCGAACCTGGGCTGCAGAGGCTGCAGGCAGCTTCACAACCCAGCACTCAACCCAGCGCTCAACCGCTGCGCCACTGGGGAGGCCCTATTATTTTTGTTTTATTCTGTGTACCTAGTCTTCTCATTAGTTCTCAAGAGTCCTCATAAAAATTTCTACAGAAAATGGTATTGCTTTTAAAAGACAAGATACAAAATCAGTTTTTATTTTCTTCTTACAAAATATATGTATTCAAATATAGTCACATCTTAGATGAAATGTTTTTAATATTTTTTTTACCCAGCTTTTTTATTTGGGCTCTACAAATATTAATTACATATATAAAAATACTTGCTGAGAATAAATTTTACAGAAATGTAAGGGTTGTTTACATGTTTAAATTTGTACTTTAACAATAATAAAATCAGTTTTTATATGGATGACACAAAAATGCAAAATATTCCCATGCTTAAAAGCTAAACAACTTATGTAATACTTTTATATAAAGTTTGTTACTCATTTTTTATTGAAGACTATGTTTATATTCTAGTTCAAATGAGGGTTGAGAGATTTAGTCTGTGTGTATTGTTCCATGAAAAGAGAAGCTGAGAAACTGTGGCCGTAAACACCAAAGCTACTGTGTGTCTGCTTTGCACAACATATAATATTTTTGCAATTAATTTGCCAAATTATAAAACCTCCTACTTTGTTACTTTATTAAGGAAAATCCTGTTCATGTAAGTTGTTGTAGATCTTACATATGTATGATTTACATTACTAAGGAGAAATTTATAACATGAAGAAAATTTATTTAAATATAACCAGGATTGTTGTTCAGAACCTTAAATATTGGCTATAGTTTTGAGGGTAAGCATTTACTGACCTAAACAGCTCACTTCTTATATTCATACAGATAATTATTTTTTCTTATAGGAGATATCCGTCTAACACCAGAGGACTTTGCTAGAGCCCAGAAATACTGCAAATATGCTGGCAGTGCTTTGCAGTATGAAGATGTAAGCACTGCTGTGCAGAATCTGCAGAAGGCCCTCAAGTTACTGACTACAGGCAGAGAATGAAGCCTTTGTGCAATAGATTCATGCATTTTTGGCTTAAAGAACTAACAGTCCATAACTCTATTTCAGCCAGTCAGGAGCACAGTTTTAAGGAAGACTTCAGTTCCATTGAACATAACAATGAAATCTGTGTCTGTGTGTCAGATTCCTATTGAAGCTTTCAGCAGCAGCCTCAACCAGTTTTCATTGTCCATTTAGTGGATCCAATAATCTCTCGGTACATAAGGCTGATGTTAGCAATATACAAAAATGCAGATTGAACCTCCTTCAAAAAAGGGAAAATACACTTCTAGAAAATGTGTTGAGAATAAGCTTTGTAACGTAATACATAGATATTAAGGAACTTTGTAATCTGTAATTTGGACAAACACACTATATTATATTACTTCAGTATAAAATTCTAAATTTAGCTTTTAATAAAGAATGTTTAGAGATCATGTTATTTTTATCAGGATTTATAAAACCAGTTTGAACCTCCTGTACTGTTAAATCAATCTGAAAGTAATGTTCGAATTCAATTTCTATTCATATTAAATGCATCTACATTGAATGTTTAAATTTTCATGGCAGGAAACATGAGGCTAAGAGGCAGACTCACTGTTAAGCTTAAGAAGAATAATTTATAACTACTTTCTGTAATGCACTGGAACTTGAGGTGAATTGGTATTTGTTTCATTAGCAGTTTGACTGCATGTATTAGAGAATTTAAAAAAAAAGACATTCAGAGTAATGCCTGAAACTTGGTGCTTTGAGTTAAGCATTTCCTCTGCCACTGTGGAATAGATTCCATAGGGTCTGTAGATATGAATAATGCAGAAGATTATAAGAATTTAGGTTCTCAGTTGTTAAGTTTATTGTGGGGAATTATGTCTCCTGCATTTGTGCTGTGTAAAAAGTAAATGCAAAGATTCTTTTCAGTTCAGCTTACCAGAGAGCCAAATGTGTGTTTTGGTTTGCATATTATAATTGCCATTTTTTTAACTAATTATTTTTAGTTATAGGAATGAATGTTTCTAGAGTAAAAGAGACATGCACTTTTTTTTTAAGAGAAAGAAATTTGGTAAATATGTCTGAAATTTATAGTTACTTGCATTCATTCCACTAAGATTGGAATTGTTTTGACATAGGGGCAACAAACTCTGGTCCATAGGATGACCACGTGTTGTGTAAATAAAGTTTTAAGACAAAACCATACCCATCCATTTACAGTTTTCATTCCTGTGGTTGCTTTCCACAACTATAGAAATATATGACCTGCAAGTCTAAGATAAGTACGACTTGGTCCTCTAAGAAAGTTTGCTGATCCCTGTTATAACATCCTGTTTGAAAGAAAATGAATCAAGTCATAATCATTTGTGACTTCCAATTTTTCTTTAAGTGTAATGCTATTGTATAGGGTTTGATAAAATTAATATTCCGACAGAACAAACTTCTAAATTATTGCATGGAAAACCCCAAAAAACACACCTCTTGAAAAACATTTTCATATCTTTACAACTTTTTCCTTCATGTGGGGTTCAGCATTTGCATATAGAAATCCAGTGTTACAATAAAGTACTTTAGAATTCTCTACAATTGTGTTGTAATAGAAAAGTGACTATGATGATCTTCAGTGTTATCAGAGATAGAGTTCAGCAAATTTTTAACTGAACAGTAGAAAGATAATGTCATCTTTCATCTCACAAGCTGCCTGTTGCTCCCAAATGGGAGTTGGAAGGAAGATAATGTGGAAACCATCAAGTCCAGTGGTAAGTGTAGTAGCCCATAGCTGTAAAAGGAAGTAAGACCACTAGCACTAGCTACCTCAGAATTTGTTGTTAGAACCAAATGAGGTACTGTAGACAAATTAGACACTGTAGTATTTAATAAGTGTTTACTAACATTAGTGTTGTAAAAATAATATAAATTAGTATTTACCAAATAGCAGGAAATTCTAGTTGGCCCAGGGCCCATTGCTTAAAAATGCATTCTTGCATGAGGACACTGAACCACATAATGATTTTTCTTTTCTTTGTATTTCTACTCATCAAATGTGACATACATTTAGAAATTATCTGTTGTATAACACTAGGATAAGCAATTTTAATTTAGTCATTCAACATGTATTTTGAGCAGCTCCTCTGTGCCTGGTAATGTCCTTTGCATGAGAAACAAACAAGAAAGAGGAGGGGAAAAACCTGCCTCAGAGTTTATATTCTAATGGAGGGAAAACAGGCAAACTTAATAAAAGATATGTTATAAATTGTATTTCTCCAGTGATTTTCAAGGGGTAAATTATTAGGGCCTATTCTAGCGCTAGCCAATCAGAAATGCTAAGGTTGGGACATAGCATTCTGAGTTTTAAGAAATATTTCAGGTAGTCTGGCAGGCTCTAAAATTTTAGTGAAATTTTAGCCCGACCAAAATTGCAAAGATTGAGCCTATGTGAGGGGAGCAGTAGTGTTCATCATGGACCCTGGACTCCCGACCTCAGCATCAGCTGGAAATAGAGCTAAAAATTCCAGGGACCGCACATCAGGAATTTTTGTATTAGAAAGTGGTAAATGCTATGGAGAAAGAGTACAGAATAAAAAGTGTTTAGGTGTGTGTAGATGTGCATATTTAAGTAGGATAGGTCTCACTGAGGTGACTGAACAAGGAAAGTGGGAAGAAGAGAATTCCTGGCAGAACAAGATAAACAGAAGTGAGAAGGTCTAGGTGAGGAAGGCTGTGAATGAGCCACAAGGCTTAGGACCCAGTAGACTTCCTATAAGACTTAATTTTTACTCTAAGCAAGATGGGGAGCTACTGAAAAGGTTTTGAACTGAAGAGTATCCTGATCTGACTTAACTTTATCACAATGTTTAGAAACTAGGCGAGAATGGAAACTGGAAGACCAATTAAAAGAGTTGTAATAAGGTGAGATATTATGGTGACTTAAGTCAGAGTTAACAGGTAATAAGATATAATTGGTTTCTGGCTGTTTAGAGCCACAGTATTTCTCAAAAATTGAATATGAAGTACGAGTGTAAGAGGAGTGATGATTGACTTTCAAATTACCACATCAAGGTCGTTGGCCATTTCCTATTTGGGGAGCTGGAGGCAGTGGTCAGGTGATACAGAATCTAGATTTTTCAGTTACCGGGGGCAGCAGGATAATGTTCTGATTAAGTGGGTACTAAGCAGAGACTACAAGACTGGAACACTCATGCAGGATCCTGTTAGCAAACGAGCTGTGAATCCAGGAGAAAAGCAGAATTTGAATAACTGGTACAACAGAGTAATAAGTCATCCCACATCTCTAGGGAGTCCTGGGTTTCCCAGACAGACCTATTTTCATTCCATTCAATTTTAAATAGCATACTATTTTCTTTTGGGAAATCAAATTGAGATATGGACTTGAATATAAAACTAACAAGTAGGTATTTTCTCTAACAAATTTTTATCTGAAAAATCTGAGGCAAAAGCACCTTATTTCAGACACTCCCTGAAGTTTGGAGGTAAAGAAATGACTGCATAATGATAGACTGAATATAACATCTGGGAAACTAATGATACTGGGATATCTTTTAGGAATGTCAGCATCATTCACTAGTTAAAAAATGTTAATATGTATTGGCCTCAGAAGAGGTGGAGCTGAAGATTTACCAGGCAGAGAAGCAGGGAGAAGTTAGCAAGAAATAATACGAACAACAGCATGGAGAAAAAGGAAATCGAGTAATTCTCTGATGCTATAGCAGTCCTATAGAGACTAGGAGTTGTAAATGTGAGATTGCAATAGTAGGGAAATGTTAGGGACTAAATTGTGCCCTTCCCCAAACTTCATAGGACTATATTTGGAGATTGTATCTCTGGGGAAAGAATTAAGGTTAAATGAGGTATGAAGAGTGAGCCCTAATTCCATAGGAAAGGTGTCCTTACAAGAAGAGAAAGCGATACCAGAGAGAAACTCTAAGCACTAGAAGAAAAGGTGGCCATTTACAAGCCAGGAAAGGAGGCCTCACCAGAAACCAGCACCGACCACACCTTGGTCTTGGAGTGCCAGCCTCTGAGGAAATAAGTTTCTGTTGTTATAGCCACCCAATTTGTGATATTTTGTTATGGCAGCCCAAGCAGACGAAAGACAGGAGGCAAGGGGGTGAAGTATTGTTAGTCCTGCCAAAGAATTGACATTTTCATTTGGAAAGTAATGGAACGTATGAAATAATTTCTATTCTTGATTTCCTCTAAAGTCTAGTAAGGCTTTGATCCCCTGAAATATACACTTAACTACACTGGTTGCTTGTTTTATTAGTAAACCCACCTAATTGTTTTTGTCTTTTTGACCCAACGGGTATGTCATTTGTGTTCTTACAGAGATCTGTCCAGAACATTCTTATAATGTACACTGATAACATCTTAGTAAAATGTACATGATCTTTGCTGCCATGCCGGGTAGTTGCTTCTCTTTGGTAGGGACTGAAAAGATGAGAATATTTCTCTTGAATCATCTTTCTTTGAGCTGATAAATACAGACAATAGACCTCAAATGAATTTCAGTGTGACAAGCTTTGGTTAATAAATTGTGAAGGGCCTCCCTGGTGGCGCAAGGGATTAACACACAGCACTACGAAGCAATCCACAGCCACTGCAGCACAAGTTCAATCCCCACACAGGGAGGTGACCCACGTCAGACCTCTCCTATCTCCTGTCTCGCCCGCTGCTCCCCTCAGCAGTGTATTTCAGTCAGTCTGCCGGTTCTGTGCCCTGCTCTGTCTCTGGTGGATCCTCTCAACCCTACCACACACATACACACACACACCCCCCACATCTCTGGCCTACACCCCATTTCTTGTATGCATAAATAAATCTTAGAAAAAGAAATAAATTGGTTATTTTTAAAGGTTTATTTATTTATTTTACACAAGAACCAGGGTAAAGGCCAGAGGCATTGGAGGGTGAGAGGATTCACCAGAGACAGAGTGCAGAACAGAACAGGCAGACTGACGAAATACACTGCTGAGGGGAGCAGCGCGCAAGACAGGAGAGGTCTGCGGCGCCACGTGGGACCCTCTCCGGCCAGCCGGGATCAAACTGGCACTGCAGAGGCTGCAGACAGCTTCACGGCATGGCGCTCAACTGCCTGCGCCACCAGGAGAGGCCCAGAAAAAGAAGTTGTGAAGTACAAAGTGCTGTGTTGTGTAACCTAAAAGCCCAAGACTTTATTACAAGTCTGTACTGAGTTGATCAAAATATACTTAAGGATACAGGTGTGTACAAATAAACATAACTGAAGGCATAATTTTAAGTGCCAAACAGAGAACATTTATTAATACTAAGCTTAATATTTTTTCCTCCAAACTAGGAGAACTGGAGTAAGACTTTGTATTGAGGTAGTGACATTTGTATTGTCTTTATTCCAATAAAGTCAGGCGCATATTTAAGATAAAAGGGAAGCATAAGAGGAAATACATAATTATGGGAAACCACATAACCTTTTCAATTACAGCAAATAAGTCTTGTTTATTCTAAGAAAAACTAGCAGGATGAATATTCCTATTGTCCAGTGAAATCAGCAGCCATCTCTTAAAGATGGAATAGATTCGAGTTTAAATCCTTGCTTATATTTTTAGAGACTGATTGTACCTACTTGTATATTCTAACTTCGTATACATTTCAGATATCTTAATGATCTTCACACACCCATCCATAACCCAAACCCTCTGCCCTACATCTATCTCTTAGATTCCAAAAGATCCAAGTGAGAGATGGGGGTCACCATAGAATAAGACCATGCTGTGGAGTGGGCAGGGCTGAGTGAATACAAGAGGGGAATTAGAAGCAGGTTAAGGGTTGGGATATTCTCCCCAGAGCTTTAAAAGGCAAAAGTAAGGGTGTAACCCTTGTAAGTCTCAACAATTTATAGGAAACATCACTAACGTCCTGTGGGGAGAATTGCTGGTGACTGGTTCCCATACCTTCTGTTCAGAAAGTGCTGAGGTAAGTCATCAGCATGCTATGCATTTTTGCAAGAAAGTTGTTTAAAAGTTCACAACATGCTTTCATTAAAACGTTTGCAAGCTGGGGGGCCTCCCCGGTGGCGCAGCAGTTGAACGCTGGGTTGCGAAGCTGCCCACAGCCTCTGCAGCACATGTTCGATCCCCGGCTCCTCCCCGGCCACCAAAGGAGGGTCCCACATGGTGCGCAGACCTCTCCTGCCACCCGCTGCTCCCCTCAGCAGTGTACTTCGGTCCTTCTGCCTGCTCTGCTCCCCGCTCTGGCTCTGGTGAATTCTCTCACCCTCCGCGCTTCTGACTGTACCCAGTGCTTGTATAAATAAAATTAAATTAAATAAATAAATAAATAAATCTTTAAAAAAAAAAGGTTTGCAAGCTGGGCCTCCCTGGTGGCACAAGGGGTTAACACACAATCTATGAAGCTATTTGCAGCCACTGCAGCATGAGTTCAATCCCTAGCCACGGAGCTACCCACATGGCACAGCAGACTTCTCCTTACTAGCCAGCTATTCCCCTCAGCACTGTATTTCAGTAAGTCTGCCTGTTCTGTTCCCCACTCTGACTCTGGTGAATCCTCAACCCTCTCTCTTTCTCTCTAACACACACACACACACACACACCCCTCTGGCCTACACTCTAGCTCTGGCCTACACTCTATGCACTCTATGCATAAATTTTTAAAAAAGATTTATTTATGATTACAGGAGCTGGGGTACAGGCCAGAAGTGTCAGGGGGTGAGAGGATTCACCAGAGACAGAGTGGGAAACAGAACAGGCAGACCGAAGTGCACTGCTGAGGGGAGCAGCAGGCAAGCCAGGAGAGGTCTGCTTCCCATGTGGATAGCTCCCTGGCCGGGGATTGAACTCATGCTGCAGAGGCTGCGGACAGATTCACAGTGCTGCGCTCAACCCTTTGCACCACCAGGGAGGCCCAACAAATAAATCTTTAAAATAAATCGACTAGGATTGGAGATAGCATATCACCCCAAATGTCTTTTGACAAAAAGTAATGGATCTTATTAAGAGTGTGTTTGATAGAGTCTCACTTTACCTTCTCAAGAAAGTCTCCAGGTTTAAGCATTTAAATTTTTAAACTACTTGGGGAAGATGAATAATCCTGGAAACTTGAATTCAGTCCTAATGAAGTGTCAAAAGACTTTAGTAATGCTGATGAAGATGACATAAACTCTTTGATTCCCTAACTCTTAAAGAAGGAAGGGCCCCTAGAGATGATCTAATCCAATCCTTCCATTTTACAAAGGATGAAATTAAGGCCCAGGAGAGATGCAGCTTTTGATCAAGATCACAAATCTGGCTAGTGGAAGAGAAAAAAGAAAGAAAAACTAATTTCCACCCAAGCATCTTTTTGTATAATATATCTTATTCTGAGGTTTAGCTCAAAAAGACTCAGATAATGAAGTACATTTTTTAAATTTTCCATTTTCAGCAAAACATATATGTAAATCCAGTATGAATCACTGATTAGTTAGTGGTCAATCCCATCATAAACATTTACTCACTATGTAAAGTCTTCAAACTTCCATTAAAGAACAAAGAGATGTTAAAACATTAAGATTTCAGTTAACGTTAACTGCAAATAAAGTCTTAAGGATACTTAGATTAAAAAATTTATTAAATAATCAAAATGAGTATTCAATTGAGGAAGCAGGGCCTCCCTGGTGGCCTAGGGATTAAGTCTCAGCACTACCTCCTTGGAGGCCCACCATAATGCTTGAGTTCAATCTCGGCCTGAGAGTTAACCCACATGGTGCAGCAGACCTCTCTTGTTTTGCCCACTGCTCCCCTCAGCAGTATATTTCAGTAGATCTCCCTGTTCTGCTCCCCACTCTGTCTCTGGTGAATCCT